TTTTTTATTTTTTTAATATATATTTTATTAATATCCATGAAGCAGTTGAGGCAAACATAAGCGTTAAAAACGGAAAATAAAATACAACTGATAGTTGAGTTACTGTTGGGGGGGCACGTTAGAAAGGACATGGACTGACCATAGGACCTTTCTTTTCTTTCTTTCTCTTCCTTTTTTTTTTTGATCTAGCCTGATAATTTTTTTCATATTTTCTTTACATGTTCATACAGCAGCTCATTATAAAGGCATGCAGAGACAAGAACAGAATGCATGAGTTGATAGATGTAGGAGGCCCAGACCTAACGTGGGTCTAATAAACTGTCATTTCTTCATTTTCTACCTTGGATGAAGTCACTTCATCTCTCTGGATCACAATTTCTTTATGAGACCAGAGAACATGTAAGTTTGGATGGAAGGGATCTGTATTTTATTGAAGTAGCCCAGAGTGAGTACAGGTCAATTGAAAATACCAAAATCATATTAGACTTACAATTCAATGCAGATAAAGGGGGAAAACATACCAGCTCCTTAGAGAAGCTTTTCCTGGCATTTATTTCTGAGGGAACTATCTTGTGGCACAGAAGGATGTAGAAGAGCCTGAACCAAGGCAGTGGGAGAGCATCTTGTGTACCCATCTGATAGTACATGCAATGGTGCATTTTCTAGGACTGCTTGCTGTAGTTGTAATTTTTCTTACTCTATTTATGAAAAATACTTTTTGCTTGCTAAGACCCTATAGTCACACATATAGTCACAGCATGTCATTTAATGGCTTGGGGCTTCTTTAAGGATAAATGTAGATTTTCTAGTGGGATAAGTGGACCTGACATTCTTCAAATCCTTTATATCTTTCTGTCAAGAGTTTTCAGACACAATACAGAGTGATAAGTGTGCTGAGAACACTTAGTATTCTTACCCACCCCATTACTGGGGATGAAAAGGCATCCCCATTATGATCCTGTTATTAGTAAATACTGTTCAAGTGATCTTCTTACCTAAGTGTTTGGCCAGTGGAGTCGTCACTCTGTAATAGTCTAAAAGACCTAGGATCTGGTCCTGGTATGTCAATACTAGCTTGCTGGCTCTTCTGTAAAATAGAATAACTGCCCAAGTTGTGAGGATCCAGTGAGACCATATAGCTTAGTATTGTTCAGAAACTGCAAAACGCTACCTATATCTATCTATCTGTCTATGTAAACAACATATTAAAGACATAATTTCAATATGCAATCAATGTAGAATTATTGAGATATTTTATCTTCTTGTATTAATATTAAGTCTTTGAAATCTGGTCTGTGTCCTACTTATACAACATATCTTAATATGATTGTCTACATCGCAAATGCTCAGTAGGCACATGTGGCTACTGAATTGGGTAGCACAGGTCTAGGGGCATTAATTGATGCACTGGTAGAAGTTGGTTTGGACGATGCCTCTTTCATCCTGAAGGTAATGTATTTATAAATGTGCCTCTTACTTTTAATAACTAATAACTTGTTTCTCATATATAAAAATAAATTAAAAATGAAAAAAAAAAGAGTTTTTGGTAGATGTTTGCCAACAGTACAAGAATATATCAAGTGGGAAGGTTTATTCTGTGTTGCTTACTGGGGTCATAGGGTAGGATTGAGATCATTAGTAAAAATTAATGAACCTGAATGGCCATCCTCTCTATAGGATATAAGATGTATAGGTCTGTAGGAAACTGAAGTGTATCCTTTAAAAATTAAGGGTCCAGTTTTCTCCAGGGTGTGAACCAATCTATCTAGATGTATCTAGATGTCTTTGGCCTCATAGTTTTTTTTTTTTTTTTTACAACAGTTTTATGAGATATAATTCACAGATAATATGAAGTGTACAGTTGTGCAACCATCACATTTTCATCATCCTCCCCTTTAAAATCCCTCCTCCGTAGGGATTTTAGTCCTCCCACTCCATAGTTTTTTGAAGCAGATATCCTACTTCACTGGGCGATTGTTAGAAAGTGGATATCTAATTTTTTAGCTATATAATTCGCTTATTTATAGAGAAATATTCTGAGAATTGTAGCATTGAAAGTTAGAAGTGTAGTGGTTGTTTAAACAGGGGTGGGTAGTGGTGGGTAAAGCAAAATTGCTGCTCCCATATTTATTTAAATGAATTTGATTTCAACACTAAAAAATATTGGCATTTTAGTCTGAAATAAATTTTACTTATTGGAAGTTGTAAAAAAATGGTGTAGGGTTCCATGATGTGAACTAAGGAAAT